AAAGCAACGTATTATGAGTCATATAATAGTTATTGTACAGATTCAGCAAAGGCTATTGCACTCATGGGAGACATTAACTGGCCATTCCTAATGCATCATCATGTGAAGCATGTGTTTGCTATGACCATTAAGCTAAACAAAAGTATAAGCAGTATTTTTTTGCCCACTATAACAAGGCAGAAATCTATTGAACTATTCCTTCATTGTGCAATTCTTAAATATTTCTTTAATATAGTACACTATATAAAAGTACATATAATAACACATAAAAGTGACCTATCATGGCTATAGTATAGCTATTTGGCTATTACAAATGCTTGAACAGCATACTATAATATGCCATTAATCACTAGTAGATATGAGGCTTGGGTTTACTTCTACCATGGGTTCATGGTTCTGGGGAACTAATGCAGGAATTTACAAGACTACATTTTTTGTAACCATAATGCACAACCTGGCCTTTGAACTTAGGTCAGTTGGCTTAAGGGCTAGTTCACACCAGCCCCAGTGTGTTCCAGCACAATTTGGTGCCGGTCTGGTGTGGTCAGAAAAATGCTGCATGCATGTGCAATGCTGCATGTGCCACGTGTTCCAGTGTGGGCGATTGCACTGCGGCCGGGAGACATGGCTGCGGTGCCATTGACTTTAATGCACCACTACTCCCCTCCCGCAATAGAATGCAGTGAGCCAACCGGGATGCGATCCAGTGTGTTCCGGAACCGAATCGTGCCGGATCGCACTGGGGCTGGTGTGATTTAGCCCTAAAAGGGCCAATAAGGGTTTTTTGGATAAGCCATTCCTCTCAAAATAAAAAGGGGAGGTCATAGAAGCCATAATGACAATGTGCTTCAGCTGTAATAGGGACATTATGGGGATTGCGGCTGATAAAGTGAATAGGAAAAGAAGCTAGTGTAGAGTTCAGATACTTGCTGGTCTATTAAAGTAGATGTAAACCCATCTTTACATTTTTTTACATTTTTATCCTTTTTTACATTTTTTTATCCTTTGTTTTATCCTGCTGCTGATGTCTTGCAAGCTCAGCATAGCTTGTCCCTGTTCACATGCCATTAATGCAAAACACTACAAAGTAGCTGCACCCTCCCCCCCCCCCCCCCAACAGATGTCTTCACAGAGCAAAATTCTTGAAGTGAGCTCAATGAGCTCCGCCTCACTCATTAAAAGTTGACCCGATGGGGTGTTAGTTGTAATATATACTGTACTACAAAGAGGTTCTTAATCCACATAGTCTCCTTTGTCAGCAATGATTTCTCAGGGTGCTAATTTTACTATTTATATACACTGTACTGCAGAGAGGTTTTTAATCCACATAGCCTCCTCTGTCAGCAATATTTCCTCAGGGTGCTAATTTTACTATATGCACTGTACTGTAGATAGGTGCTTAATCCACATAGCCTCCTATGTCAGCAATGATTTCTCAGGGTCACCCTCATGTCTCGAAGTGGGTACACAATCAACTGAAATGAAGTTGTAAGATCATACATATGTTTCTCCTGTACAAAATGACAAGACTACATGGGCACTTAAGCAGGGGCATTTGCCTCGGGTGGCAGATAACAGGGGGGCAGCAAAAATGCACCCCCTAAAAAAACATTTAGGCAGACTGGCTGCACAGAAACCGGCAGCCTGGCTGCCTAATGTGAACGGGGAAGAAGCGGCGGGCGGGAGAGTAGGAGGAGACGGGGATGGAGCGGCAGGGAGCAGAGACAGAGGAGATGGGGGCGGAGATGCAAGAGGTGGGGGCCGAAGACTGCAACAGAGGAGACGGCGATGGTGGAGGCGGGAGGCGTCACCGAGGCTCCAGTTGGGTGGCGAAGCTACGACAATTGGACACCGAGGCTGGGTTTCTCATGCCAGGTAGAACGACTGTGCTGGGGAGGGCCCAGCATAGATTCTGCAGGATTGTGCAGGATCTGTGGGGGGATTTTCAGGATCTGTGGGGGGCTTTGCAAAATCCGTAGGGGACTCTGCAGCCTGCAAAGCCCACCACAGATCCTGCACAGCCACCCTGAGATCCGGCAGGCTGCAGGGTCTCAGGGGGTCTCTGCAGGATCTGTGGAGGGCTTTGCCGGGTCTCAGGGGGGCTTTTCAGGATCTGTGATGGGCTTTGCAGGATCCGTAGGAGGCTCTGCAGCCTGCAAAGCCCACCACAGATCCTGCACAGCCACCCTGAGATCCGGCAGGCTGCAGGGTCTCAGGGGGTCTCTGCAGGATCTGTGGGGGGCTTTGCAGGATCTGTAGGGGGCTCTGCAGCCTGCAAAGCACACCAAAGATCCTGCACAGCCCCCCTGAGATCAGGCAGACTGCAGGGTCTCAGGGGGTCCCTGCAGGATCTGTAGGGGGCTCTGCCCACCATAGACCTCGCAGAGCTCACCACAGATCCTGCAAAGCCCCCCCTCCCCTGAGACCCTGCAGAGCCCACCACAGATCTTGCACAGACCCCCTGAGACCACAGCTTTTCTGTTATGCTAATAGCGGAAGATGTCAAAAGCTGGATTCAGTGTGTGCACTGGATACAGCAACTGACAGGTTACGCAAAAAGTATTAAACAGGAAGGAGTGGAGGAAATTTAGTTGTGGGGGAGACTTTTGCCTTGCCTAGGGCAGCCCCAAACCAGAATACACCACTGCACCACAAGAAGTCTTTGATGTCAAATAAAGACCCTTTATGAGGATGCTAAACAGTGTCCAATTTAAGTACTGTGTTGCACTGGGCACAAACCCAGTTTGGGCGTCTTTTATCTTACTACAAAAGACATTCTGAATAGGACCCCCACTCTTGGGGACTACATCTGCCTTCACCAATTCATCACAAAAGCGTGAGTTCTTAAATACTGTACTAAACTATACTATATTTTGTACAGGGACTGCATTAGTAGTATCCAAATATCACGTTTTGGGATGTGGTACTGACTGAGAAATTGCTATTGAAAAATGGGGATACAGTATATGGATTAAACACCCCATTACTGGCCTTATAGTTAAAAAGTGGGTTGGGACAATGTCATTAAGAACTATCTTTAGCGTAAAGAAGAACAAGGACTCCTGGAAGTGATGGTTTGGCCCCCACAGAGCCCTGATCTCAACATCATCGAGTCTGTCTGGGATTACATGAACAGACAGAAGGATTTGAGGCAGCCTACATCCACAGAAGATGTTTGGAACTTCATACCTGCAGAATTCCTTTAAAAACTGTGTGCAAGTGTACCTTGAAGAATTGATGCTGTTTTGAAGCCAAAGGGTGATCACACCAAATATTGATCTGATTTGGATCTGTCTTCTGTTCATTTACTTTCCATTTTGGTAATTGATAAAAATAAGCTAACACTTTTATTTCTGAAAGCATTCTTACTTTACAGCATTTTCTCACACCTGTCTAAAACTTTTGCACAGTACTGAATATACTGTATACAGTATATATATAGTGTAATGTAAATGGGTAAGCCTTAATGAGTTTATTGTTCTCTTCTTCCTTCCATGCAAAAAATAGAATGAGTGGCAGACCTTTATAATAGAGCAAGCAGCCAAGCTTTGTGTTCAGACACAATTGTGAGGCTTCTGTCCCTGCTAGGCACCTGCATTTTTTACCTGACAGCACTTCCTTTTTTAGCATGGTAGACTTGCTTCCAGCTTTTGTTAACTGAACCTAATGCAGATAAGGATGATGGAAATGCATATTTACTATTCACTGAAGTGGAATCAAGGCAGAGGGTGGCCGGAATCCTAAATGGCAGCAGCACTCTGATTTATGCCAGATGTTACCTGAACCCTGAGAATACTGTAGTATGACAATTTTTATCAGATGTCCTCCTGAAGATTTTGGGGCCACACCTCTTTCCTCGAATGTCTTACTTCACTCCAACTGCTATGAAGGCACCCTAGTTAACCAATAGTAAGGGGTGGATGGATGTTGGGACAGCCTTTTGACATGGAAGGCAGGTTGATATTTGCATGTCAGATTTCAGGAGCCCAGTGGTGTGCTTTATAACAAAATTGACCAGTTATGTAATGTGTAGTTCTCTGTAATTGTCTTTATTTTTTTAGTGATCAAATATTTGATTTAAAGAATACTTCAAAATAGTTTTTTGTTGTTTCTCAATTTAAAGTGACACTAAACTTAGGAGTTAAATCTAAAAAATACATTCAAGTACCTTTACTATTAACACAAATGTATCTTATTCCTGTATCACCTGTATCACTTAGCTGTAGCTCCTCAAATCATCTCTGAAAACACACTACCGTGATGGACTACAGTCTCAATACAAATTGGTAAACTAAATATGGAATTGTAGTCCATCATGTAAGGGCTCTTGGAGTGGTGGTTACTTTAGAATACACAGGGACCATGGGGGGCAAAAGTAGCTACCCTCCAGAAGGAAGGACAGTGTCAGCAAAAATTCAGAGATGATTTGAGGATCTACAGCCGAGTGATACACAAATAAAATACATTTTTGTTAATAGTTAATGTGCTTGAATGCATTTTAAAGATTTAACTCCAGAGTTTAGTGTCACTTTAATTTATGCAGTTGTCAAACAAAAAAGCTGAATTTTGCTGTTGAGATTTTGGCATACTATTTAAAATGCAAGAACTTATTTGATTTACAATGTGACAATTGGAAAAAGGGAAACAACAATAACAAAGAAAATGAAACAATGAAAACTGATTTACAAGAACAGATTGATAGCAAAACAAATGGAGAAAAAGGAAACTGCTTTATTGTTGGTTACAAAATAAAAAATGATATAGCTAACTGGTTGCAGGGGCCAACACCTACATTTTTCCAGGATGTAAGTTACCTCTATTGTTGCCAGTTATCTCAATAATATGTATGCTTCCTAGATAAACAAAGTATACAACCAGGACAACATGGCTCAAGGAAAATAGTCAATTGATTTTCTTTCTTATCATGATGTTTTGGCTATAATATGGCATTATACTTTTATGATGGGTATGTTCTTATTTATTCTTTTTAATATTTGCAGGTTATTACACAAGCAAGTGGAAGTGTTTCACATCATACCATCCATACTCAGCCAGTTGGAAAGCATTTTGACAGAGTTGATGACTTTTTCATTCCTAGTACAACACTGATAATTAATCATATCAGGTACAAAAAGTAGCTCTAATCTTAACAGAAAAAGATAAGTGTTATAAATGAGTGTGTATCTGATTCCTATGGAAGTCTCAAATTAAAATTCTTCTATAACAAAACCATCATTATTTTCTTTTAAATTAAATGCCAGTATGGATGCACAGCTAACAAACTGATAAAGCTAAAGTTATAAAATAAAATGTTTACTCATAATTGTGGAACTCTTTCAAATGTCAGGAGATCATATAGTTAGTATTGATTAAAAGGGCATACATACTTAATGTATTCCAGTAAACAGAGCTAAAGGCATTGTACAAGTTTCTTGCAAAGGGCAAACAAGAGTAAATGACCTTTATAAAATATTGTATAACATCTATATGTCACGTGACATGGGGCACAAAATAAAGAAACAACATTGTTATTATTATTAATAATAATATTATATTTGCGGAAATTGTTAAAATGTTTCATAGTATAGGTTCTGAGGGGAACACATTATGATACCATTTACTGAAAAGTATACATTTAATATAACTCATACATTTATAATTTCCAGGCCTTATTTTTTTTACTTCTGTTAAAGGAAAAGAATGATGGCTTTGGGTCATTGTTTTTGCGCTATTTAAGAAATATACATCTTGTATACATTGCAAAGGGTTACCATAGAATGCTTTCTTTCAGTGAAATCTTGGATAGGAACTGTCTGATAACAGATGTGTCTCTCCTCTGACTCATTGTTTGTGTGTAAATGTCAGTTTGAGCAGTTGAGCCCTGTAGACTGCCGGCTAAACATAGTATACATTATTAATATGTAATATGTCATATTAAAGGCTCAGTTTTCCTCTCTGACCATGTTCTGTGTTACACCCAAATTCAGGGTGTAGAATGAAACATAATCACATGACCCCCCAATTACCTAAATTACAGGGTTCTTCTCCCCACAGGCTGCTGCTCTTTTTTGAAAATGATGTGGCTGTGTGGGACAGAGCCTTTGGTGGGACCTGTAAAAGGTGAAACTACAAGTCCCATCAGCCACTGCAGCAGAGGTACTTGTAATTTTTAATGGGATTTCAGTATGATGACATACCATACTTTTCGTCCATTCATTCTTCCCCCTATCCCTATTGCTGAATAGAGACTGAAGGGAGAAGCTGCAGGAGTCAGAGCATTGTACCCACAATCCACTAATTGTGGTTGCAATGCTTTATTGGCTTAATGAAAAACAAATAAAAAATTGCAAATGTTTTTCTTTGATGAAGATGTGTGCATTTATTATTATTAGGTGGATTATACCTTTAACTTAAAAAAAGACTATAATAAACAGAAAATATAGAGCAAACCACATATATATTCCCATTAGTGACAAATTAAATAGGTAAGTATCAGCCATAAAGAACAACATATAAAAATGCCTAAGTCTCAGGATAACAAAGTCTATCTGAAAGATAACCTTGAAAGCATCTTCAAGAATAATAAAATGTCACCCGGTGCATTAGACCTATCCATCGCAATATACATCAGAGGACCAGTAGAATATCACTGTCAACACATAATATAAAATATATATCAACAGAAGAGGTAAGAAATAGGGGAAGGAAGTGAAAACTACATGGTGAGGGTAGAATCAAGTCTGCAAAGAATGATAATTAAAACAATAGCAGTGACAGAAAATACCGGAAAGCAAAAGACAAAGGGACAATAAGGGGACATACTCCCATCCATTCCATGAACAATGTAATGAAGCCTCCCAGCTTTATGTCCATATTTTTATGAGTAGGCAAGTCACTGAGAAATTCCTCATATTCCTGTGTTGAGGAGAACTCAGTCCAATAGAACCAAATCTGCCAAAAAGCATCATAAGTACCTCTAGTGGAGGAAATAATATCCTCCATCCTTTTAAATTATTTACTGTATTAATCCAAAAGGCAACTGAAGGAGGCTGTATCTGTTTCACAATGTAACTCCTAGCAGCATTACCCAAATGTGGATTGATTTCATATAGCCTTTCCTCGGGATGGAATTTTGATGGAGCAGGAAAAAACCTGACTCATTTAGGATTGTGAAATCTGTGAATTTTTGGAAAATATGTATCACTTCTTGTCAAATGGGTGTAAGAGCATCACAGGACCAGAACAGATGTAAAATGCCCCCAGTAGCCTGGCAACAATGCAAGCATGACTCAGAAGTTACTGGGCACATATAATGCAAAGTCTGTGGTGTCATGTACCAATGTATCAGATCCTAAAGCCTGACTTTTGAAATTACACAGAAATCAGTGTTGTATGTGTAAAAAATAATGTTTTGTTCCTTCTGCTAAGGAGCAAAGCATAAACCTAGGTCTTATTCCCATTTCCCAAATCATGCAGGGATAAAAGCATTTGACGCTGAGTTCAGTATATTATACATCACAGACACCAAGGGGGGAATTTATCAAAACTGGAGCAGAAGAATCTGGAGCAGTTGCCTATGGCAACCAATCAGCTTATCTCTTCAGTTTGTTCAGTTAAGGGTTGAAAATGAAAGAGAGAAGCTGATTGGTTGCCTTGCACATCTGCTCCAGTTTTTGTCTGCTCCAGTTTTGATAAATTCCCCTCCAAATGTCTGAAGGGTCCTTCAGCAATATACTCTTTTTCGCATAAAGTGAGTGGACGGGTAAACCCCTGGGCTACTGGTAGGGACTTGGAGAAATGAGAGAGCTGGATAGTCCTCCACAATTCTAAGTTACCCATTTGAGGGTCTCATTACATCTCTGTCAATGAGGGCCACTGCCAGTTAGCATGAAACAAAAAAGAAGAGAAAGAGTGCCACAACCTAGCGCAATTAACCTAAAGTCTAAGGGGAAAAAATAAAGTAACAATGTTGCACTCACATGTATAATGGGCAAGCAGCCAAATGAGGGTACAACCAAGGATACAAAGTGAGTACTGAGTGGTGAAGAATGATAAATTGTGGTAGGGACCCTCAGTAGCTGGAATCCGATTAAGGAAGCATGGGTTAGAGGAGAGATACTGTATATGAGACTGTGTTGATGACCCCAGTCAGAATAGAGGAGTAAATCACAGGTATGGAGTATACAGAAAAGTCCTGAACTGTGGTAAATGACTAAAAACAATACAACACTGGGTGGCTGGAACCAGATGAGGGGAAAGATATGTGAGACTGTGTAGGAGGCAACGCGTTTCGAGACAATTCACCTCTTTTTTCAATCCAGAAAAGAAAGGGAGAACTCTATTGGCAAGAGTATTTTAAACGTGACAGGTGAGGAGCTGAGGGCATAGGCAGAGGCGGAATCAGGTACAAGATACCCAAAGTGGTCACTGAAGCTGACCCCTATAGGGCTAGGCGCAAACAAACGGAGTACCAGAAGAAGACTACATAAATTAGATGGGCAATAATAGCGGAATGAGAGAGAGGAAAGGAGTAGAAGAAATCAACTTGTGGAAATCATACTAAAATATACTGTGATATAAAATTATTGTTAAAAATGAAATGTAAATATGAGTTGCCTCCTGTGTTTTTTGGTTAAAATCCAATTATCTTTATGTGAAAGTTCCAGATCAAGAAAGACTAAAAGGGTTATTCACAAAGCTGCCAAAGGCAGTCGAGTAAATAACCAAGCCAAAGTGAACAGAGCCGAATGCTCTTTGGCTATTCACTTTAGCTCAGTACGGCTAATTTCAGCCATACATTGGCTGAAATTAGCCGTACATCGGCTTGCTTCGGCTGGCTTCGACTGAGCCGAAGTGAAGAACGTGGCATTCAGCTCAGCTATTATGCTCAGTACCTCCGTGGTATCGAGCAGAATAGAAGATCAGTGAAAAATGTAAATAAATACATTTAAAAAAAATTTAAATAAATGATGGATTTAAAAAAAGAAATAAAGATTTATTTAAAAAAGAAAACAATTGGGCGGAGCTAACAGTGACAGCTAGCTCCGCCCAACTGTTTCCTATTGGCCAGGACCTGCTAGAGTCTTCTCTAGCAGGTCCACCCAGTTTGTCATTGTTTAATGACAGTTCAGTTTCCCCAGCTAACCTGGGGACGCTGATCTGTCATTGGAAATGGGCGGAGCCAGCCACGAGATCACAGCTGGCTCTGCCCAGCTGTCAGTTGTGAGGCTTTCGGCTGGCCAAAGCTACTCTTTGCCTGTCACTACGGCTCAGTCAAGTCGAAGCATAAGCCTTCGGGCTTGGCTGAGCCGCTTGTCCAGCTTCGGGAGCTGTACGAACTATAGTGAATAGCCCGTACAGCAGCCCTTCAGTTCAACTGAGCTAGGGCTGATCCTTTGGCTAGCTTTGTGAATAACCCTCTAAGTTGTCAGAATCAATGACATGGGTGAAAATTAGACCTGACATATGTGAGACAAAACAGGGAATGGTCTCTGGAGGAGCATTCCAAATGATCCAAATGTCAATAATGTAGCGCCCGTGAAAAACCAAATGTTTGGTAAACGGGTTATTGTTCCACATGTGCATATGTTCCAAATACCTCATTGTTAAATTGGCATAGCTTGGTGCATAGTTTGTTCCCATAGCTGTGACTAGGATTTGTAGGTAGAAATTTCCTAAAAAAGAGAAGTTGTTATGTTCCAGGGTGAATTTGGTGCAATCAATGATGAAGCAAGCCTGTTTCTGATTGAGTACCAACATCTGGGATAAGTAGTATTGTAGGGCATTGAGGCCTACTTTATGTGGAATAGACGTATATAAATAATTGACGTCTAGCGAGACCCAATGATAGCAGGAATCCCATGAGTAATGTGTTAAGATCTTAATAAGATGACCTGAGCCTTTTATGTAGGTAGGGATGGCTATGATGAGTGGTTGGAGGAAGTGGTCAATGTAAAGTGATAAGCCAATGGTAAGGCTGTTCACGCTGGAAATGATGGGGCCTCCTTAATGTTTCTGACTGTGTTTGTGAATCTTGGGAAGGTAATAGAGGACATATGGGGTATTTCTGGACATAGGAAAGCTGTCTCTTTTTTGGAGTTGATGTCCTCACTAAGCGCATATTTT